GTCGTACCTTCCATGCGTCTTCCTGGGCAGCCAGATCGACAGAGAATAAATCTTCGTATCGTCCTAAGAGGAACCAATAATGTCGAGGAAAGGGGGACGGATGCCAATGGCTTCCAGTTTTATCAGAAGCCGTCTGTGCGGTACCTTGTCGAAGGCTTTGCTCAGGTCAAAGTAGATCACAATCATTGATTGCTGCTCGTTACGGAGGGAAGTGACGTGGTTAAGAAAAGCTAAGAAGCACGTCTTGTATAATCGTCCAGGTAGGAAACCATGCTGCGAGTGGTTTAGAAGCTTGTTTTCTAGGCAAAAATCGAGAATTTATTAAAGATGATCTTTTCCAGATGTTTGACTAGGGCCGGGGTTTTATGAACGCCTCGGTAATTATTTACGTCCGAACGAGATCCTGACTTAAAGACTGGAAGAATAATGGATGTTTTCCAAGAGTCAGAAAAGAAACCGTTTGAGAGATAGACTGAGAATATATGGCTTAGTAATCTGGGAGAGCTCGGGACTCTTTTGATAAATGAGTTTGGAATACCGTCAGTTCCCGAAGAGTGCGATTATTTTAGGCGAATTATATGCTTACGAATTAATTATATGGATAAATCAATGGTCCCGAGAATATTGTCTGAGTCTGCTTGAAATGACGGGACCTGTTCGGATTCCGTCGTAATGTTTTATTTTCATGTAGCAATGGGGGGATTTCATTACCTCGTTTAGCGGGGGACCTACGACGGAACAGTTGGGCAATTGATTTCGCAGAGTTTAACTTGCTGAGTGCGCAGGATTACCTCTGTTTGTAACGGGCAAGACGAATCTTAGACGCTAATTCAAAGATCTCTGCGATCCTTAGGTGCACAGACAGCACGGACAGTAGATCGATCTTTCAACTGTCTCCTCAATTTCTCGAGTCTTGGCAAAAGAAAGTGAGGGACGGTCGATTCTGATGCGTAGGGTTTCGCAATTTTAGTGGGCACAAATTTCAGCATTTTATTGGAAACGACCGACATGACTTCAGAAATACATGCAGCGTCGTTCGTGCAGGAGAGACTCTGCCAATCCAATGAGTCAAGAACATTGTTGCTTAAGCTAATATCTGCGAGGCCATAAGCATGATAGGTACGAATGGCGCTAGTCTTTTTCATAAAAATAGGGAAAGACAACAGTGAA